CTTTTCTTGTCTGGTATTTTAGGATCGGTTGTGGCGTAAAACGAGATCTAGAAATGCCAAATATCACTGTCACGGGGTCGACGCTAACAGAAACTGGAAAGTAAAGTGGTGTGGTAAGTCTGCAACATGTTCTTTCTTTTGCGCTTGTCGTGCCAGAGCGAACGCCAGTGATCGGTCCCGCATACACACGCAGGACAGCACACTTCCCTGTGCTGTTAAAACAAGCCCCAGAGGGCGATTAATTCACCTGTTATTTCATTATTAGTTCCAGTTTTCTTTAAATACGTCCCTCGCCCTTCACTCAGGGCTCTGTTATGAGGTGAGCTACTGCGCTTTGTATCCCTTTGGACGCCGCTCCAAACAGAAAGGCACCCGGAGTTGGAGCTGAACCCAGGACAGTAGAGTGCAAATCACCATGACATCTTGTTGATCTCCTGCCCTAAACATCATCTGAAACAGCTAAACCCTACAGGATTCTGTTGACTTAATTCATGGCCCTTCTTTGTATCAGAAAGTCTGTTCCCGTTTTCAGTCTGACTCATTCGTACTTTAATTCAAGGTTCAGAAATCAATTTGCGTTGCTTCTGTTGCCTGCTTAATTAGTATAAGCCTAAAAGTAAATATTTTAGCCTTATTATCCCCCCATTTGATGTGTTTGAAGAGTAAGATTTGTTGTCACTCTGTGATTGCTATGCCATCCCTAAAAATGATTCATTTTATCTGTTGAATTTTAAAAAGTATGATTGAATAGAGGCAAATGTTTTGTTTAGTGGAGAATACAGTGTAAATAATTGAACACTGATTTTAACCGCAGAAGAGTGAACTCTTCTTTTAGAGTTCTAAACTGTTCTGAACTTTATTTCTTACTGTTAAGCCCTTAGAGAAGCCACTTAGAGGACCACAGCTCTCCGTGAAGCAAACTTTTACCTTTTTTGGATGAATTTCATCACCTCATGATCAAAGTAATTAATTTTCTCTCAGTGGCAGACACAGTATTGTAACATCTGTATTCTTGCTGATGCCACAGTGTCCTTCTCAGTAGGTCTCATGTGCTGCTGTCAGCTGTCCAGATTCTACAGCTCCCACTGCTCCAGATCCCTGAAGTTGTTGGTTTAAATCTAATTACTTAAAATGTTTATCCGTGTGTCTTAGGGGATCTGCCTGAGCACTACTGTAAACCACAGACTCCTCATTTAGCTCTAATTAGCAATATGGTTATGATTAAAAATCATACAAACTGTATTTCAGCTCCATGCTCATTTTCACAGGACCTAGTTTCAAAACCAGGACTAACCATTGTAGAAAGAAAATATTTGTTAGGTGTTTTTGTGAGCATAGTAAACTACTGTATGCTTACAAAAACATATTTTTTTGTCACGATGACACGTATGTCACGAAAAGTAATGCCTTCAGGTTTCTTCTGATTTTGACATCTAAATTAATGTAATGAAATTACTTATTCAGTAAGTTCTCAATAAATAGTCTCATAGATTTATCATACTTTAATGTTTGTATGCCTAATGCAGTAGTAGGTGGAGGGCAGAGAAAAACTTTGCAATTACCAGTACAATTACCTATGTTTTTCTGATTGGATACAATTCTGGGTGAAGCCTCACATATCTGTTGAAAACTATGCTGTTGATATGATGACATACAATTAACAGGTTCTTTGTGTAACTGAAGTATAAAACACAATTCCACATCATGTCTCTGTAGGAGAATTAATCTGCTCTATATGTGGTCTTTATGCTTCAAAGACAAAATCTAAGGTATGTCATATTGTGCAAAATCACCATTTTGCATGAATAAAGGAAACTGGCTTTCAGAGCACGTTCCGTAAGAGTCTGAAATAAAAGACAGCTTCTGTAATCCGTGTGATAGAAGGAAAAAACAGCATTCTGTATGATGAACCTCTTGTGCAGCTGGTAGCATACATGAGGAGTGACTAAAATAACTGCAAGGTCCTTTTCATCAAAGACCTGAGGACCTCGGCTCACACTGGTGAAGGGAAAAACCTAATTAAAAGAGATTTCAAATTACATTTTTGAAGATGTTTTTAAAAGCACAGTAATTTAAAATCCCTGTAGCACATGACATATTAATTATTAAGGCCTAACTTATATTGTAAATGTCATTTATACTTCTATTTTCTAAAGCACTTTATTCAACACATAATGTTATGCGGGAGCCTGTTCTGGAAACAGGCCAGCAACAGACTTAGGGTGGGACACACACACACACACACACACACACACACACACACACACACACACACACACCCACCCACCCAACAGGGCCAGTTTTCCCAGAAGCCAGTTGACCTACCTGTATGTATTTGGACTGTGGGAGGAAACCAGAGCACCTGGCAGAAACCCATATGAACATGGGGACAACAACTCCATGCAGACAGCACACCAGGATTTCGTGAATGTTACAGTTCTTTGAACAAATAGCAGCAATTATTGATGTATACAAAGTGGATGTGGCACACTTAGATTTTTAAAAAATGCTTCTACTACTGTATGTATAAAATTAATTCTTAAATTACAAATGGCAGGCAACTGAGAAATATGTGGGTTTGAGAACTGGTTAATGGATAGAGAAAACATTGTATGAGCAAAGGATGAATGCTCAAAATATGCGATGTAATTTAGTGGAGTGTCACAGGGATCTGTACTTGGACCACTGCTCTTCCTTAGTTATATCAGTGATCTAGAATCTAGTATAATTAATAAACAAGTCAAATTTGTAGACAAA